TGTGGAAGTCCACACTTCCAGGGAGGAAGAAGCTCTGAATGGGACTAACATACGCTTAAAATGCACCTTTTCCACCTTTAGCCCCGTTGGCCCACAACTGACGGTGACCTGGAACTTCCGGCCTGAGGAAAAAGGCTCAGATGAGTCTGTAAGTGGAAACCTTACTCTCCAGCATGTTACAGCATTGCTCACGCAGACCTTGCCCAAGGCACAGCACTTAAGCAATAGGAGTGTAACAATCTAAGGTGTGAACATGGGTGAGGACAGCAGACAAGCAGTCACGTAGGACTGTGGTGGTGTGGCTTTTGTCTTTACTGATTCAACTAACTCCTCTTTTCATGGGGAGCTTTGGCCTCTGGCCCTGGCTATTTTGGCTGTTAAACCTGGTTAGACCCATTTTTAAATAGTTCAGGCCAAATCCAATTTAAAACACTTAAGAGCCCAGTGGAATTGCACCTACTTACACAAAAGCTGAATATGGTCCTGTCTGCACTGCACCGGCAGCACTAATTTGCAGGGAAAATGCATCAGTAAGGGCCCCATTAAAAATGACACAGGGTTCAACAGGCTACCATAAATTCAACTTGGGCCAGCCTGTCTCTCTCCATGCCACTGTGCCCCATGAAGGATCCATTTTAGGATTAGAGCAGCCTTTGATCTCTGCTGGGAGAGGCTGATTCAGCACAGCTCCCGCCTGCCTGGCCCAGGCCCTCCTCCAAGCCTCAACAACTGGGACAGAAGCTGCATATGTTTTCAGAGGTGAAAACACATGAGAAAAGGAACCAGGAGTGAGGATGCAGGAGATATGCAGCCAGGATCAAGGGAGCCATGTTTAAGGGGGGCCTGTGACTTTATTCCCATCCCACCGTGCTCACGTGCATGGCTGCTTCCCACTGGTGCTGCCAGGTTCTGTGCCAGTGATAGCTGGCATGCACCCTAAAGTGTACCTAGGACAGGGCCTATAGTAATTAGACAGAATAGCGTTGTACGAGGGCAGCTGGGTCCTAAGTGGAGTCCGCAAGCTGAAGTGGGGGCAGCACGATCCCACAGTCCTGCTTGTTTTAGGAATGTCTAGAGCTCTAGAGCATTGACAGAATGGTCCTAAGCACAAGTTTATGAACAGGCAGCTGCCTCATCCAGGTTGGGGAGAGGTACAGTACCACATGGGGACAGTAACACATCCTCTTCCTGACAAACTAGGTGTTCTTTTACCAAGGCCAGCCCTATCTGCTTACTGGGCGGTTTAAAGACCGTGTTACTTGGGATGGGAATATTCATAAGAACGATGCATCCATTGTCATCTGGAACCTGAAGCCGACCGACAATGGGACTTTCACATGTCAGGTGATGAACCCACCAGACGTCAGCGGCACGATTGGTGAAATCCGGCTCAGCGTTGTGCAGAGTGGTACGTGGCACTGTCACAACTAGTAGGGAATTAACCAGTGCGGGAATGGTAAAACTGCCCACCCTGATGGTCAAAACACAAGAAGGGAGGAAGATGATAGAGGGGGTATGGGAGGAAAATAAACAAATGCACTGTGTTTGTGGGTCTGAAGGACTGAGCTCAGGAGTCCCTGGCTCCCAGCCGTGTGCCCAGCCCCAAATTTTGCCCCCCACTCTTTCATTCACTTGTTTCTCTTCTGTGCAGTGCGTTTCTCAGAAATCCACTACCTGGCAGTGGCTATTGGTTCTGCCTGTGCCCTGATGATCATTCTGGTGATCGTTGTAGTTGTCTGTCGATACTACCGGAGGAAACAGCAAGAGAAGAGCACCGAGATGGTGGAGACAGAGCTGTAAGGACAGGGTCTTCTGAGAAGCCTTCTTAATATGTATCTTCATGGGAGTCTGGAGCCAGTAGCTACACACTACAGCAAAGCATCTGCAGCACAAAGTCCTCCAAAACAAGTGGGCATATTTGGCCCCTTGTTGCCATCCCCAGGAGAGGGTTCACAGCTGGAATGAGCCCTTGAGTCATAACTCTGCTCCTACTCATGGCAGAGCAGTCAGGAAAAGCCAGCTGTGTGGGGGAAGCTTGCTTTGCCTGTTCGCAGTGTGGGGGGGTGTGGTAAAGGAGAGGTGGACCACTGTCTACCAGGGCTGGTGTGGCAGATATGTCCTGTGCAATTAGGATAAACTCTTGTCTGTTCATCACACCAAAGGACACAGCAAATATGATTACTATCTGGCCACATGTAGCTAGATTTAAGTAGCATCTTTTACATGAGGGCAAGGCCAAGTTTTATAGCTCTTACCAGCTGAACAAGTACAGGCTTAAGGACAGGTTCAGTACCATCAGGCCATTATTGCCACAAAATGTGCTGCCTACCAAGATGCTCTGTCAGTTGGAGAAATAGCAGCTGGGTAATGCGCTATGGCTTGGTGAGCACAATAAAGGCAGAAAGAAAGAGACAGAAGATGTTCTGGGGAACGAAATTAAAAGACTTGATCCCAAGGAGCTTTTTTTAGAAAGATTTGAATGACAGACTAGGACAGGGATTGGGAGACCACATCTGACCAACTGTGATCGAGCTGCCTGGTAACCAGCAGCCTTCAGCTGCCCTGCCTAAACGGATTCAATGCTACCTGCAATCTGCAGTTTGTCTAAACAGATGCAGTGCCACCTCACACTAGCCATGCACATAAAGGGCTTACAGGACAACATCCTGTAACACACAACATTAGTGTTAACTGCACACCGCCTGTGCAGGACTGGCTGGACAGGCACCTAGAGAAGTGGCTTGAATAACTTTGGGCTGCCGGATCCAAAGAGATCAGCAACGTTCTTGACCATTCGGTGCGACTCACCCATACATTTTTCACCGCATCCGTTGTGTTACTTCCACCCTTTTGTGCCTTCTGCTCTGACACTACCCAGTCCAACTGGCTTGGATAAAATGCTGGGCAGCCAAGTTTGGCAGAGGATGAGTGGGTCAGAGAAAATTAAGCGGGGGTGGTATGTCAAACACAGGGCTGCCTCTGGGGTGGGGTCACAGCCAATGGAAGTTAGATATTTTCCCTTCTTTCATAAGCCAGACATCCAGGGCCCTCTGTGCAAAGCACGGTGCACCTTCTATATAACATGCTTATTATCTCCTTGTTTACCTCTTCTGACTCAGGAACCTGGGACCACGATATCTGATGGTTGTTTGTACCTTCTTTTTTATTAACAGTCCAGAAAAGGAAAAACTGAAGAGTACAGAAGAGATGGTAGCTGTTCCATTAGAAGCTAAAGACTAAAGAGTCCTTACTAAATGGTACACATAGTGAAGGTAACCAAACCCTGACTAGTCTGGATCAGCACTTGGGCAGGCCTGAGGGGGCGTTTTACATGGCTTTTTCACAGCTTGAGTAAAGTAAGTCAGTAGGTCTCAGACCCATCCCATGTTACAGGTCCTGGCACCCACAGTACAGAAACTGCCATGACCACAATCACATGTAGCACGTTTCCAGCCAACAGCCTTGCCAGAGAGAACAAGGGCTGAATGGCCCAGGGAGGCAGAATTCACTTTCAACCCTATGACTGGTTTCTCCCATCAAGGTTGAGGCTCATTAAGAGGCAAGCCTAAACTGCTACTAACCAGAATGCAGCTCTTGTGAACAAAGGAGAACTGAATTTATCTCCTTTAACCAGCTCTAGTTGGTTTTTTGATTCACTTTGCCCTCCTTATTTTAAGGCCACTATATAAAAGTCTTAACCTGCTGCTATGCTCTGCCGATATGTTTAGACATTATTTCTATTTTCTGGCACCACTAGTTCTCTCCACTATCTCCAGTCTCAAGACTATGACATAGTAACATGCGTTTTTTATCTTTAAATTTCTTCCAATTTCTTCTGCAGGTACTTCTGAAGAAGGTGGCTAATACTTCCACATTCAGATGTTAGATCAAAGCTGAATTATACATTTCTGATGCTGCAAGTGTGGTACCGCTGCTCGCCTTGAAACTCTTGCCAGGAAAAAATGGTTGCACTAATATAAAGTATAAGGTCATATTCCCTTTCATTGAGGCAAAACAGGAGGAACTCAACCCATCAGAAATGAAGTTGTCTTTGCTCTTCAACCCAACTGAAGCCATTTGGAGAAAAGCTATGCAGAATTTCATTTGATTCACTCCTGTGAAGAAAAAGAATCTAGAAGATATAGAAGAAATCCAAGGACAGCTGATTGAACAGAGGTTTGCAAAGTCCTCATCTTGGCACGCAGATGCATCTTTCATATTTCTGAAGATGCATCTTTCATATTTTAATTTTGTTTACACCATCTCACTCCAACCGTAGACAGGAGAAAGGAGAATCCTTCGTTGTTACAAATTCACTTGGTACACTGTTGTTCCTCAAGAATTAAAATAATAAGTAATTTGGTCTGCATCATATTCCCCTCCATTGGAAAACCCTGCTAAATGCCGCCAAAGTAAAAAAAAAAGACATCTAGACAGACCAGTCAGAGGGGCAGCTTCTTGCAATAACGGAGTTTGGAGCCCAAGCTTACTTTAAGTGGAGTGTTACAGTTTTGGACAACATGCTGTTTCTTCAGCAGTGATGATTTTTAGCAGTAGATGCATTTTTCAGTTTGATGTATGACTCGCACTGTAAGTGACTTAGCACGTTTGAAGTTGGTAGACTGGGAACTCTGCCTGTTGCCAAGTACACTTTGGGCAGGTGCTATGGCAGCTTCTTTCCATTCCTGTTCTTCTGACACGTGTAAATCCTGCTCTCTGTTCTGCTCTGCTATTCCAGCCCAGATTCCTCCACTCGCTTCTCTTAACTTAACTGAATCCGCCTTGCAACACCTTTTGCTGCTGGTCACGAGGCTTACAGATTCCTTTCCAAATGCCACAACTTTGGCTTGCAACAGTCACCGCTGCTCCGGAGACTCCTCAACAAACACTCCGCGTGGTGCCTAATCACAGTCAAGCTTTATTTGCTATCAAAGTTCAGTAGTTAGTGGCACGGTATCAAGCACAGAAGTAGTCAGTAGAAGCTCTGATACCTATAATCAATATTATATGCAGCTTTCCAGATACGCACATTGGCTCAAAGGGGAATGAAAGTTAGTTTGTCTTGATGCTATTTACTGCTGTAGGTTAGTAATGTATTTTCCAAATTTGACGTGCTCATTGCAGACTGTGTTTCTGCAGACTGCGGTGGAAATAAACGAACAAAACCAAAAACCAGCAAAACTTCAAAGCTGTTGCTGTATTTAACCAGCGTTAAATCAAGTATCCGTCTGTTTGTTTAAAGAATGCTTTATTTTATGACCCTACCTGTAAAATGTGGACACATTATCACGGCTTGTATGTTTTCTTTTCCTATCTTGGGTGCCATATATAACTGCGTCTTGTGGACAGAGTCAGAGGCCACAGTCGTAGAACGACTGCGACGTACCCGCCGCGGCCCTGCCGCAAGCAAGCCGCGCTCTCGGCTCACAACCCCCGCCGATCTCATCGGGACGGCAGCGCGACGAGCGCACGCACGCCGCCCGCCCGCCCTGGCTTTGCAGCTAGGAAGAGTGGGGCCGAGCAGGAACATCCCAACACACGAGGTTAAAACATACCTTGAACCACGGAGAGGATATGAAATGGGGGGGGGAGACAGACTATTGGGGTTTCTCGAGGTCGAGGCCAAGCAGAAGGAAAAGTGGGGCACGATGCTGGTGTTTTGGGTCATTATTAATAGCTTCCATTTGCTGGAGACCAGACCAGGGCTCTCTCCCCGCGCT